CTCACCTCAGCCTCCCAAAGGCGCAGGATTACAGGCTGAGCCACCGAGCCCGGCTTTATTTTGTTTTTTAATGTCAGCTGAGAAATGATGTCCTGGGTTTAAGGTCCTTGGGCATTTGCTATGTAAAGTGAAACTTTTTTCTTTTCTTTTCTTTTTTTTTGAGTTAGAGTCTTACTCTGTCACCCAAGTTGGAGTGCAGTGGCACGCTCACGGCTACCACAGCTTCAACCTGCTGGACTGAAGTCATCCTTCTGCCTCAGTCTTCCAGGTAGCTGGAACCACAGGCATGTGCCATCACACCTGGCTACTTTTTTGATTTATTGTAGAGGAGGTCTTGCCAAGTTGCTCAGGCTGATCTCGAACCCCTGAACTCAAACAATCCTCTTGCCTCTGCCTCCCAAAGTGTTGGAAGTATAGGCGTGAGCCACCATTCCCAGCTGTAGTGAGACCTTGTAAGGAAATGAGATAATGGGTTTTTTTTTTGTTTGTTTGTTTGTTTTTTCAGTTGGAGTCTCACTCTGTCGCCCAGACTGGAGTGCAGTGGCCGCTCCCGGCCACCGCAGCCTCAACCTGCTGGGCTCCGGCGATCCTTCCACCTCAGCCTCCCAAGTAGCCGGAATTACAGGCATGCGCTACCACATCCGGCTGATTTTTTTATTTATTGTAGAGATGAGGTCTCGCTGCCCAGGCGAGTCTCGAACCCGCGGGCTCAGGCAATCCACTTACCTCAGCCTCCCAAAGATGCGGAATTACAGGCTGAGCCACCGAGCCCGGCCAAGATAATGTTTTGACTTTTCCCTTTTCTCGCATAAAAGCAGTTAATAATACAATTAACATATCAGAAATATTTTATGACGTTAGAAGGGTGATTATTGTTATATATTCTTGTCTCTATTTTGAAAGTCTTACAAATCCCTTGATATTAATGATAAAATGAAGGTAAAAATTATGGCTGTCATATCATCACTATTTTATGGGGAGGAAGGAAAATCAGTTATTCAAGAACTGAGTGGGAACTATTGAAAATGTTTGTCTTGCGTCAAGTTTGAAATGCAAATGATTGGGCGAGCACAGTGCCTCATTCCTGTAATCTCAGCACTTTGGGAGACTGAGGTGAGGGAATTACCTGAGTCCAGGGGTTCAAGACCAGCCTGGGCATCTTGGCAAGACCTTATCTCTACAATAAACCAAAACTTAGCCAGGCATGGTGGCACATGCCTGTAGTTTGAGCTACTTGAGAGACTGAGGCAGAAGGATTTCCTGAGCCCAGCAGGTCGAGGCTTTGATGGCCGTGAGCATGCCACTGTGCTCCAACCTGGGCGGCAGAGTGAGACTCCAACTCAAAAAAAAAAAAAGAATGCAAATGTTTAATGCATTGTTTTGATTTGCTTTGCTTTGGATTCTATTCAGATACATACATAAAATACATGTGCAGACACACTCAGACCTTCTCCCTTTCAGTTCAGTGACATCACAGTGGCGGGAGGACAGCAGTTGGTTTCATTGTGATTTTCTTGTGGGTATTCTTTTTGTTTTAAGTACTCATTTCTAATTCTGCTAACTTAATTTTTTTGTCATTGTCGTAGATCTCCCCCCTCAGAAGCCCACTATGATACTCAACATGAAATGATCTCTCAAACTAAAAACATAATGTGCTTTGACAAAATTTTGCTTAGGGTTGTCTTGATGCAGATCACGATATTGATATTGTCAACCTTCGAAATGGACTCAAAGCTGAGTGCAGTGGCTCATGCCTATAATCCCAGTACTTTGGGAAGCTCAGGTGGGAGGATTTCTTGAGCTTAGGAGTTTAAGACCCTGTCTCCACAAAAAGACAAAAAATTAGTTGAGTGTTGTGGCATGCACTTGTAGTCTCAGCTATTCTAGAGGCTGAGGAGGGAGGGAGGTTCACCTGAACCCAGAAGTTTAAGTTTGTGGCGAGCTGTGATAATGCCCCTGCACTGAGCCTCAGCAACATAGTGAGGCCTGACAATCAATTAATCAATCAGTCAATCAATAAACAGGAGTTAGATACAGGGCTTGTAGTTGACTAAACAGTCATGATAGTCATTTTTATATAGTTACATATTATATGTATTGATTTTTTAATAGCCTTATTTTTTAATTTTGAGTCAAAGTCTTACTTTGTCAAACAGGCTTGAATGCAGTGGTACAATCACAGCTACGGCAGCCTTAAACCACTGGGCTCAGGAGATCCTTCTACCTCAGTCTTCCAAGTAACTGGAACTACAGGCACACGCCACCATACCTAGCTAATTTTTTAATTTATTGTAAACATGAGGCCCTACCAAGTTGCCTGTGCTAGTGTTGAACCCCTGGACTCAGGCAATCCTCTTGCTTCTGCCTCCCAAAGTGCTGGGATTACAGGCGTGAGTCAATGTGCCCAAATAGTTATTAGTTTTGGAACCTTTAATTTGGAATCTTTTTAATCTTTAATTTTTCTATGTAAACTTTATTTTTTGCTGCCAGTAAAATATACTTATTAGAGAAGATTTAGAAAATAGAATTTTCCCCTTTTTTTGAGTTGGAGTCTCCTTCTGGCACACTCATGGCCACTGCAGCCTCGACCTGCTGGGCTCAGGCAATCCTTCCACCTCAGTCTTCCAAGTAGCTGGAACTACATGGACACGTCACCACACCTGGCTAATTTTTGATATATTGTAGCGATTAGGTCTTGCCAAGTTGCCCAGGCTAGTCTCAAACCCCTGGGCTCAGGCACTCCTCTCGCCTCCACCTCCCAAAGTGCTGGGATTACAGGCGTGAGCCACTGCACTCTGCTTAGAATTTTTCTTAAATTGTGTACAATGCTACTAGCCAGAAGCAATCTAGAAATATTTTAGTGTATTTCCTACTGTCTTTTTTCCTAAACTTAGTTTCTCTTTCTAAAATATTGTCATTACTCAATTTTATAATGTATGAGAAGATTGCTATAGTTTTTAGTACTAAGCAGTAAATATCCAGAATATTCATGTTGTCATTCTAATCAGGTATTTTATATCATTGAGGAAAAAGAAATGGACTACTCAGCAAACTGTTTTGGAACGTCTGAGGAACTATTTAGAAAACTAATACTAAAACTTAAGTTACTTTGCATCAAAATAAAATCCAGAGAGGTGAAGGAATAAAATGTAAAAGTAAAAACAGCAAAACAAAATTTAGATTAATATTTTAATTTTGTGGTGGGAAAGACTTGATTGAACATTATCCAGATTCTAAGTACCATAAAGTTTGAAAAGTTATAGCCGGGCTCGGTGGCTCAGCCTGTAATCCCACGCTTTGGGAGGCCGAGGTGAGTGGATT